CCCCCCAGGGAATCAACAGCTCCTCCCAGTTTGGTATCCCCATCAAACCTGCTTAGAAGTCCTTCCAGTCCTGCGTCCCAGGCATTGATGGAGATGTTGAAGAGGATGGAGCCTGGGATGGATGGAGCCCTGTGGGACCCCACTAGTGACTTGTTTCAGAAGGAAGCACACTGGGCTTTTAGCCTTCTTACCAGCCTCCTGGTGGTTTTTGCTGCTGTGTTTAGTTGACACAAAATTCCTAGAGGAGGACACAGCACAGGTAGCTTGATAGGAATAGGTAAAATACACAAATAATGAAAAATGGTGGATTCTTAGTAACTTCCTTTTTCTTTCCTATTCATGAATTAAAGCTAAATCCTGTATTTCTTGGGAAAACTAAATCAACTGCAGGATGAGCAGCTGATCATGAAGTGTTAGGAAATGCTCAAATTAAGGTCTCTGCTTGAAGCACTTCCTAAGCTAAGTAAGACTTAGATGAAAAAAGTTGTGTGGGTGACACTGACTTGAAACCCTCACTTCTTTCAGCTGGTTAGATTTATTAGTTTTGCCATATGTATAAAACATATTTGTAAGGATAAAGTGTTGCAAAAAAAAAAAAAATAATCCCCATTATTTAGCATTTCTGCAATAACTGAGGTGTGAAATTAGCACCATGGTTCACAGGACACAGCCAGCTCAAACAAATCCCACAGTCTGTCAGCTCCACTGGCACACAGAGCTTCAGCTTTCATTTATTTCTTCATATTTAGACCTAGCAATTTTAACAGGTATGTGCAATGAGCAAAGAAGAAATCATCTGTCTTTAATAAGATGAGCAGGGTGGATTCATCCTAATGCAAATGAGATGTTACACATGCCTGGGGAAAAAATGCTTCCTGCAACTTCTCGTTTCTGCTACAAAAATAATAGATCAGCAAATGTTTGACCAAGAAATGGGCTCCTTTGTTTTGTTTAGGAAAATGGAAAAAGCAAAGACTGCAAGAGTTCTGGGCTAGGAGGATGTTGTTCAGCAATGGTATCACCACGAGCCAAAGCTGGAAATGAATTAACTTAATCATTGCCATTAGGATTATATTTTTTTTAAACGAGGAAACAATCTGACTTTCAGACATGGAGCTTCAGCAGGTCTGGGTCCAGCTGCAGTGGCTGCCTGCAGCCTTTCCTTTGTGCACAGTCCTTGGACAGGAACATCATCTCCTGGAGCTGTAGGAGCCAGTGTTCCCTCCTGAGGAGCCCGGGCAGCAGGGCAGGCAGGGAGCAGCACAGCCATGGGGCCTCTGGGGAGTCCAGGGGAGCAACTGCCCTGGGGAGGAGGGAGGAGAGGAGGGAAGGAAGCCAGACCTTGTGCTGAATGCCTGACCCTGCCAGATCCTGTCCTCATCCAGTGCAGTGCAACCCCACGAGCCTTCTCCTCTTTCCTGAGCTCACCAGATCCCCTGGACTGCTCACTCTTTTCATTTTACTGGCTGATGCTCCTTTATGTCCATCTCCAACAACAGAGAAGAACATTTTCATCTAATGATTCATCCTGAGTATTGTCTTCTCCATCTTTCTGGTGATCCTGCATCACTGCTGCTGCCTCAGCCATTACCCCAGGATTCAAACGTGACTTTTCTGTAATTAACAAAAAAAAACCCCAACCATAGTGGCTGTAGTTTGAGATTCTTCTGTTGTCCTCAAAAACTTGAGCTTTGAAGAGCAGTGACAAGCAGTGACATTTTCTAGCCCAGTGAGAAATGTGTACTGAGTATTCTAAGCAGGACTTTCCTGTTGTCCTCAAAAACTTGAGCTTTGAAGAGAAGTGACATTTTCTAGTCCAGTGAGAAATGTGTACTGAGTATTTAAGCAGGACTTTCAGAGTCTCATGGGTGTTCATAGCCCTGAATTTTCACAGTATTTCAGCAATATTTTTAAACTTATTTGATGATGTTCTAACTCTTCTGCTCTAGCAATCTGTAGATTTTCAACATAGCTTGCTTGTATATTTTCTACCTTAAGGTGAAATAAACTTTGTTTCTACTGTTTCCATTATTTCTCTGCTATTGCAACACTCACATTTTCAGACTATTGGAGTATTTAATGACCCTGCTAAGGTCCTTGCCAACTGTCAGCACAGCCTCATGCAAAAAGGTGTCTGTGTATTAGCAGTGAATCACAGGGGGAGGCAGCCTGAGGATTCCTCTGGCTGTGGATTTGAAATAAAGAAAACTGGTGAAAAAGCATTTTGTGTTTTGGGTCACCTGTTTCTCTTTCCATATGTGAGAGGGGAGAAACAGACACCTCATCTGGGATGAAGCAAAATATTGGACTAAAAAAATGTTAATAAAACATTCCTGAGATCATGGGGCTCCTTCCTTGCCCTCAAACATCAGAGTATAGAAACTATTTTGGCAAAGAGGCTCTTGACCCATCTCCTCTCGTGGTTCATTGGCACTGCCAAGATGGGCTCCATGCAGCTCCTGCAGGGGCTTTTTCTGGCCACCCTTGTTCTGTCCCTCAGCCCTGTCACTGGGCTGTGACACAAACCCTTGCTGCTCTTCACCCTGTGCTCCTACAGAATCCCACAGAACAGCCTGTTCCACAGACTGAGAGTTTAGGTTCTCACCTTCACAGAGCAAGAATGATACTGAATTTCAATACAACATTGGGCCTGTTTTTTCCTCTCTTGCAAAACTAAAGCTTATTTGGCTGTAAAGAAAAATTCACAACCTGTTATTATTTGAAATGAAATACTTTATAAAATAAAATATTTAGAAACATAAGATAATTCAGTGCTTCCTCTTCACCTAACTTGACAGAGCTATTTGATGACTTGTCTGGAGGTGGCACCTTAAGCTGTGAGGAATCATCTTCACTCACACCACGGATCTGCTCCTTTTCCAGGTACTTGCAGTAGCCACAGGACAGCACAGTGACTGTGTTAACATCTGTGCTTCACACCCAGGACGTTGCTTCCACTGCAGGTAACCAGCAGCACAAGTGGAAACACCAGTTCCTCCTCTCACCCTTCCCAAGATTTAATTTGTAAGCCAACTTTTAAAAGAAATATTCAGAGCCAAGGAGAGATGATGCACCAAGCACATCATCACGTACCCACAGGGAAGTGCAAAACTGTCCTACCATCTGGGTGACTGAAAAGGAGAAAACAACAATTAGACAAAGGGAGGAGAGGCTACTAAAAGAATAGCATATTTTTCTGGAAGTGCTGCAGAGACTGGTGAATATTTGTATAAAGTAGTTATCCCCACACGTTTTCAGTATGTAAAATGCCTTTGTCACAAGGAGCTAAGTCCTATCAGATGTTGATATTACTTGAATACCAGTTTTTCAAGCAGGTGCAGAAGAATATGGTTGAGTAAAAAGGAAAGGAAAACTGTAGAGCAATTTCATGATCCTCATTTGCTGATCTCTTTGGTATTAGTTCCTTCTCAAGAAAGCAATTCCACGTGGAATAGACTGAAATGGACATCACTGAGGCAGTAATGGTTGCTTAGAAACTGAATTATGAAGAGCTCTCTGAACAGCTGAGGGATTAGCTGGTCCAGGAAGGTAGTGAAGAGTGGTCTAACGGTGTCAAAGGAAGCTGAAGTGATTTGAACATGGAGATGAGTGGCTGAGTGGCAGAGACAGTGAGATGAGTTGTGAGTAGAAGTGGGGAAAGAAAAATCTTGGGCATGTTGCTGAAGGAGAAGGCAAAAAAGGTACTCTTTTTGTCTCAGTTTTTCTTTTAGCAGCACATGATGCAGGTCTGTGCAGTGCAGTTTGAAGGTGTTTATAGGTCAGAATGGTGGAAATAAGTGCAACAGAGCTGCAGAGAACTGCAGCTGCCAGGAATGTGCTTTCAACTGTACCTGCAACCTCAGGAAGAGTCGCATGTGGGACAAGAGAGAGGGTGTGATGCCATGTGTGGCAGTGCAGAAACAAGGCTCTGTGCATAGTGAGAGCCTGCTGGTGGCTTCATGCTGTGGATCTGCTGTCAGCCCTTGTGGTTTGTTCTGCAACTGGGAAAGAAATACCAGGTGTTTCTTCAGCATGTGCTCACACCACCATTCGTATGTGCATGAGCACACAGGGTGGGGCTCCTGGCTGCTCTTGCAGTTCTTCTGAACCTCCTGATGAGGCATCTTTTTCCTGCAGTTTCCCAACTGCCTCGCCTTGTTTTCACTGTTTGGATCATTTTCTTCAGCCTGCCTTTACCCGTGCTCTTTGTTTATCCTTTCACTGAAGTTGCCAGATCACCCCTGTTTGTACCGACCCGAACCACTCTGACTTAGGCTGTAGCCCATGGAGCCTGGGGAGCCTCCTGGTCCCTTGTATCCAGAGCTGGATGGTGGCACTGGGGTGGCATCACCCTCCCTGCCCACGGTGCCAGCAGGTTCCCTCTCAGTGGCACGGCGTGGGAAGGCCCTGTGTGCCACCAGCCTGGGCAGCACAGCAGCCTCTTTGCTCTTGCTGTCCCCACCACCAACCAGCTACAGGCAGAGCCACCCCAGAGGGGCAGCAACGTGTTGTCACTGCACCCCAAAGACTGCCAAGTGCTGGAGCCATCACAGTGTTCCCCACCCTGGCTTTTGGGTTGGGGTTTGGGTTGGTTTTTTTCCCCAAGAGGACCAGACCTCACCTCTTGCTTTTCCTCCTCTCAGAACTAAAAGAGACTTAACCAGCACTAAACACGTGGAGGTGAGGTGGTCGGGATCTGGTTTGCTGTTCCTGCAAGCAGGAAACTGGCAGGATTGTGACCTTATGGAGCAGCAGGGCCCTGCACGGAGCCTTTCCCTCCTGCTGCCTTTAGCCAAGGGCTGCAAAGGGGCTGTTCTCTCCTTACTTTGGTGTCCATCTCTCACACAAAGTACAGATCATGGAACCACAGAAGGGCTGGGGTCAGAAGGGGCCTTAAAGATCATCTGGACCCACCTGCCCTGCAGGGGCATCAAAAGCTCACCCTCTGGGAGGCCGTCACAAAACGAGCAGTTGCATCTCATCCCCAGTAGTTACCACTCATGGGGTCTGTGGGCAGGAAAACCTGCCTGGTTGAGACGGGTTTGTTCCCGGGCAGTTTGGACAGGGTGAGATGTTCCTCTCCTCTTCCCAAGATCCAGCGTGGAATTCCTGGGAGATGCCTGTGGCTCCAGTCAGTGTGCTCAGGGACAGACACTGCTGGATTCCCAGAGGAACTCCTGTGAGCAAAGCTGCCTCACCTGGACACCAGACACATTTCCTCACCTTCTCCTGTTCCCAAGTCCCTTCCTATTCCCAAACTGCCCGAGAGGCAGCTGAGATGGGAATTAATTGGTGCCGCGGGATTAAATTGACATTTCAGGAGCCGTAAGGCAATGAGCAGGTAAGTAACCGGAGTAATCCGTCCCTTAGGCCGGTGTTCACCTTCAGCTCTCGTTAGTTGGTTAAACGGCACTTAATGAAGCTGCTACCGCTGTGGGAGTCTGCACAGGGCAAAGTGAGTCTGCACAGGGCAAAGTGAGTCTGTACAGGGCAAAGTGAGTCTGCACAGGGCAAAGTGAGTCTGCACAGGGCAAAGTGAGTCAGTCTGCACAGGGCAAAGTGAGTA